TAAATAGTTTTCATAATTGTCATTTAGTAGCTACAAAATATTCAACAGTGTGCCAAACTTATTTGAGACCTTTATACATTAAAGGATGATTTATGTTCTACCTCTTTCCAAAAAAGGATTTCAGATGGCTTACTGACAAAAAGGCCTACTAAATAAGAGTATTGCATTATGAATTAAAAGGAAGAAAAGAAGGTTAAGAAAAAACAAGGAAGCAGTAATGCCAACTATGATAATATCTGCTTTAAATGAAAGTAAAATTGGGCTTTGGGTATTCTGGCAGCCAAATGTGCCAACTGTGATTAGTTCCTTATTTGTATTATTAGAATAAAAAGGAGACATAAGTGGCATTAACAGTTATTGAATGCCTACTATGTGCAGCTTAACAAAAGGTATAATGATACTCGATTTGATTTGATTTGATTTCACCTTTGCGGCCCTTGCCCTGGGTCACAGAGCCAATGACAGCACAGGCATCCAGATCTTCACAGTGAAAAGGCACAGCAGGAATCCTGAGGCTGATGCCGTGCAGCACACAGGCTGCCCCAGAAGACAGACATCTTCCTTGTACTGAATTCTAAGAGACGTTTCTTACAGGGAGCAACTTACTCAGGCAAGTGGGAGTGATCCAATGATCAATGTCTTCACAACAGCTTCATATTAAAAGGAGTTTTTAATGACTTTATTTATAGTGGCTTTTGATGGGTATGACATTGAACTGCCCTTCAGTTGAGGAGCTTTTGGAAGGAATTATGTCACTTTCTTGGGAGGTAAGGTTAGGCAAGGATGGGATTTATTACTTAGAGAAAAGGACTGCTGTCCCCACACTGTCCTGTGATCTCCATTGCTCTTGGACAAAGTTTCAAAGAGGCCGGGAGAGCTCAGATCTCCAGGTTTGTTTCTTGTTTTTGGACGAGAGTCTATTTTACACTAATGAACTCCTCTTCCTAACAAATGTCTCCACAATTGTTCACACTTTGATTTATGTGTTCATAACTCTACTGAAAGCTCCAGGCATCTTTGTGGAACCACCATTGTCACCAGAATTCTGAGACTCCCTCCTTTTCTGACCTCTCCTTCTCTGTCAGATGCTACTTTTCATTACTGATGCCCATGTTCTACCCAGCACCCCTGCCCTGGGTGCTGTCCTTGCCTCTTTCTCGTTGTACTTAACATTTTGGCATCTCTTTGTGCCCAATTTAATATTAATGAGCATCTACTGCTCTCTAAGCTCGATGCTCCCAGCTGCAGGAGTGCACAGACAGACGGTACCTAGTTCTGACATCAGGTTGCTCACTCTCTAGTAAGCGGATAATAGAGAAAAGTGAATAACTGTCATACCGAAAAAAACCCCAAACATTAAAAGACACAGTAACTTAAAGTTGTACAAACAAAGCTAATATAAATACCCAAATGGAAAAATCAGGAAAGTTATATAAACATACACACTTTTATCAGACGCAATTTATGCACCTTCCAGATTTGTTTGGCCCCAGGGATTAGCTATCCTGCCATTGTCATTTCAACTCCTAGTACTGCTGGCCGTCCCCGCCTCCTCCAGGGTGTGGGCCAGGCTTTGGGACAATTTCCATAACATGTTCTGATCAAGAAACCTTGGCAGCTCCAGTGCTCGAGTCCTGTCTGGCTGACCCGCAAAGGCTGTGGTGTCTGCCTCCCTTCTGTTCACGGTTGCCTGGAGGATCTGGTAACAAGACTCTGAAGTGCAAGAGAGTTCATCCTATGGAGTCAATTTGACTGACAAGAGTCAGCAAAAAAGCAGAAGCAGGCTGGTAACGAGCCCTCCCTTCCTCTCCTGAATGGACTGTTTCTTGAAATACTCTCTCCTAGAAGCACTTCTTTGCAAATGAGCAACTGTACTATGGCCAGGTCACCACCTTTTTGTTTTGTTTGCTAATCCTCACCCAAGAATATTTTTCCATTGATTTTTAGAGAGAGTGGAAAAGAGGAGAAGAGATAGAGAGAGGAACATCGATGTGAGAGAAACAAATCGATTGGTTGTCTCCCTCATGTGCCCCAACTAGGGCCGGGGATTGAACCTGCAACCGTTACATGCCCTTGACTGGAATTGAACCCGGGACCCTTCAGTCTGTGGGCTGACACTCTATCCACTGAGCCAAACAAACTAGGACTAGGTCTCACCTCATACCCACTCTCATCCCTTCCCTGATGTACCTTCCCAGCTCCTTCACTCTTATTACCCTGAGATTGCACGTCCCAATAATGTCTTCACACGTGAGGTCTGCTGCAGACTCTGTGTAGGGAATCTGGGCAAAGATTCGGGGCGAGGCTTTCCAAGCAGAGCACAGAGAGATGAAGGCAGGTGTGCTGAGGCCTAACATCAGTGGTTGACACGTTTCTCAGGTCCATCTCTCCACTCTGAGCATGTCCTGACTTTTCCACACCAGGTACTGCTCCTGCTGAGCCCTCTGCAGGACGCACCCTCTCTCTGCCCACATCCACAAGTTGCAATAGCGCGAAGTATTGGAGTAGAATTTTAAAAAAACCACAAAAAACAGAAGTCATAAAAAAGATGTTCTGCTCAAAAACTACAATGTCCTTGAACCCAAAAGCAAACTCTCCCTGCTCTGTGCAGCCCAAACTATTTTTTGTTTGTTTGATTTTTTGTTTTTTTTTAAATCCTCACTGGAAGATATTTGTCCATTGGTTTTTTTAGAGAGAGGGAAATACAGAGAGACATATCAATGTGAGAGAAACATATCGATTGGTTGCCTCCTGCACACCCCCACCCAGGGCCCAGGTTGGGGAGGAGCTTGCAACTGAGGTATGTGCCCTTGACCAGAATCAAACCTGGGATCCTATGGTCCCCAGGCCAACGCTCTATCCACTGAGCCAAACTGGCTAGGGACAAACTATTTGTTTTTAAGTCACTTTATAAACATTTTTTAAAAATATGTTTTTGTTGATTTTAGAGAGAAAAGAAGGGAGAAGGAGAGAGAGAGAGAGACATCTATGAGAGAGAAATCAACATTGATTGGCAGCTTCTTGCATATCGAACCTGAAACCCGGGCATGTGTCCTGACTGGGAATCAAACCAGTGACCTCTTGGTTCATGGATTGACACTCAACCACTGAGCAACACCAGCCAGGCCACTTTTATAACATTTATCATATATTGTCTTGTATCATAATGAGTCTTTGGTATTACTGCATCTATGAGATAAAAAGCTCATGAGGGCTGGAGTATTACTTAGCTTTGTATCTTTTACAAAGCTTATCATGGAGTACTGCCTGCAGTAGGCACTCAGCAAATATCAGTTGAATCTATTTAGAAACCTATCTGTAAGGTTAAGTTAATGCTATAGATATGTTCCTTAAATTATTAATTTTTAAAAATTCTTTTATGAAACTCACCACCTAGTGCAAAATGTTCTGATTTGCTCAATATAAGGCCACACTCACGTGACTCTGATCTTGACATGACTTTCCAGCACCTGGGAGTAGGGAGTGATTCTCAGAGCTTCCTGAGGTCAAGGGCATTAGAATTCAACTCTACAGCATGGACCTCCACCACAGGATAAACAGTGAGAGAGGACTCTTTTCATTCAATTAATGAATGAATACCTTTGAGTAGTTACGTTGTGCCAAGCACTGTGGTGATCAAATAAATGCTTTTAAAAGCATAAGTTATGTCTTGACAAAACCTATATTTGTCCATACCAACATTTAAAGCCCATTAATTTCTTCCCCCTGGTTTCTATTTAGAAAGTTAGTTTCTACATTTCACAATGTCTAGTTCATTTCAAGAAATTTTTGGAGTCGTTAAAGCAGGTGAGTAAAAGAAGAAATCAGAAACAGACATGAAAAATTATTACGGTAAGTATTAGTAATGGCTATTCTTAGTTGACTGAGGAGACTCCATAAAAAGATAGAAGCTTGGTAGTGCTCATACACAAGATGCTTTCATTTTCTTAAATATTTGACTCTAGGAAGTCTTTTGAGCCACTCACTAAGTAACAAGACTGGGCAGACTTCTATTTTTTTCTCTATTGACATCTTCCAAGGAAAATGCTGCATGATATGATTTTCAAGGCTAATTTGCCTTTTTGTGTTAAGCAGTGTCCCTGGCTACAAATTAGCCTCCCTGAGCTAGAGAGGCTCCTTCAAAATTCCTAACAGGCAGGCTGGTGGAGAGATGGGAGGGAAGGGATGGGAGGGAGAAAGGGCGGGAGGAAGGGAGGGAGAGAGGTAGAGGGTGTCTGTCTTCTGCGTGCATGTGGTGCAGGCAGGGAGATCTGAACGCTAACAGAACAGGCAGTGTAATTACATGTTCCTTGGAAGTATATTAGCCCCACCGGGAACTAAGCTTGCCAGTCCACTTGGGGAAGAAAAGTAGATTTGGGGGATGGTGAAAGGGGTCAGTTCATAACTGACTTCCCACTCAGTTATAATGAGGGCATTTGCTGATCTCCAGTGACCGCCTGGTGCTGTGGTCAGACTCGTCTCCCTGACTCCCAGATACTTGATTTTGCAAAAGGGACACACCTTTCTGCAGGAGAGAAGACTGACCAGATTGCAAGCGGTAGGTTGTGACATTCAGCATGTTTATGCAGCAGAATTGCTTAGAGATGCAGAGGGGGGGGCGGGGGGGCGCTGAATGATTTATCTGCAGTGGAGAATGTTTTATTTTAATTGTCAGTTAACAGAAGAGTTGCTGCGTAGGCTAAGATATCAGTTAAATATTCTGTGTTCCAGGATTTTATGTTTGTGTTTGATGTGGTTTCTGTGCTTGTGCAGCTTAGCTCAGCGAGGCAGGGCTCACCTTTAAATAACCTGCAGCTTTCCTCCTCTTTTTTCCTTCCTAAGCCCAGTTCCCACCCCTTCTTCCCAACATCCCCCTGACCTCCCCCACCCCATGTGAAACGTGGCCTGTCTTCATCTGGAGCCTTTTGCGCACTGAGTCTGGATTTGTGGCTGGTCTTTGGCAGGTATTTGTGGATGCTTTGCAGTCACCCAGGGCCCAGGCGTACTGACTGTGCAGAAGTGTTTGTGCATGGGAATCGGAGACCATGGCCGTGCAGCTGGTGCCAGACTCCGCGCTCAGCCTGCTGATGGTGAGTGCTCCCGGAGGAGGTGGGGCCCAGGGGCGCCCAGCTCCAGCCTCTGCCGCATCGCATCGCACCCCTGTGGGGTCTGCTGCTGCAGCCAGAGCTGCAGACATGTTAACAGTCGCTCTGCTTTATCCTGCGGGCTCTTTTGAAATGATTTCTTGGGCAAAGAGCAACAGCCATGACAAAGCACTTCCAGGGAAAAGGAGCATTAGATTTGCCATTTTAGAAACTTGTTGCTTAATGCTATTTTGAGAGATGTGCTTGCAAACAGGTGCTAAGAGCCCCTGGAAATAGATTCCCAGCAATGCCTCTCCCTGGCTCTCAGCATCCTTCCACCCCCCGCCCCCCCCCCCCCCCAAGCCTTTTGCTTCTAAATTGAGGTAATCGTGTTTGTTTGGTGTGTGTTTTTATATCTTCTCATGGCAACTGTGGAATATTTTGCCCACAGGGCAATTGAATAGGATCTCCTTTCAAGGTGCCCACGTATCTGCTCAGATTTCTCTGTAGAAGCAGCCGAGGTGGTTCCTGTGACCTTTTGTGACACTGGAGTTTGAGGAAGCTTATCTCCCAACTACAACTGCTGGGAGACACTATCAGGCCTTGTCCAGGCATTTGTCCGTGCGTGGACCACTGACCTACTTTAAGCCACTCCTCGAGTTCCATCACCTTAGGAAACAAGGACATTTAAGCAAACAAGGACAGTGGCATCGCCTTGTTTTAAGCTGATTGATGTCTGCTTGACACTAGGTTCAGAGTTTGCTTTTGCATCATGTTGCTCCTCCCTGTCCTCAGGAGCAGCCCATCTGCCAGGGGAATGCCTGCGGAAGCGGCCCCTGTCAGCTGGGTGTGGGAATGTTCTAACAGTTACACAGGAGCTTTTATGAACAAAGCATAAGTGCTTCTGCTGTATATTGATCAGTGTTTTCTGACTGAGGAGAAATGCGGCTTTGCATGGTCTCATGAGTTTATTAAGGCCACTTGGAAGAGAAACGAATGGGGAGCAACCTCCCCCGTGGCCAGCCTGGTCAAGTTAAGAGAAACAGCTATCTTGGTTCTTTATTACCCCAAATGCCATTTAGGCCACAGAGGCTGTTGAAGTGCCTGAGATCTCATGGGCCTCTGCTGACTTCCGATTTCACTGGGGGAGAAGGAATGGAAATTTTCTGGAGAAATTACCCTTTACTCATCTTTCTTCCCTCATGAATTCTATTGTCTTACGCTATTTTATCCTCATTGTCTATCTGTGGTCACACAAGTGGATGCAAAGGCCCTGATGAGTATTTGTGCGTGTGGCAGGCACTGAAGTGCCATAACCAAGGGGACCAGGAGACCCTCAGGGAACTGGGAGTCTGAGTTAAATGCAGAAAATACAAGTGCATGTGCTCACATGTAGGTATGCACATGCATATTATATAATATTGTTAAATAGAAACACATCTTGCATATGTTAACATAGAGAAGAAATGTGTTCTTAAAAAATAGCTCCAGGGAGAGCTGGGCCTGCTGCCTCCAGGTTTCTGCTCTGAATCACCTGAAGCTTCCATGCTCTGAGCACTCAAATAAGAGTCTGTTTGACTTGGGCCCTAAGGCTAAATCCTCAGCATCCAGACAGAATGCAGCTCAGCACCCTGGCCCAGCTCCTGCCACACACACACTCCTGTTCTCTTGTGCTCGGGCTTCCCAAATATTGTGGTTGCTGACCTGGAGGTCTCTCAGCTCAGACTTTATCTTCCATTGTCAGCAGCCTCTGCCTTCAGATCTCTCCCTAGAGCTCACCTCCTGCCCGGATTAAAGGATTGTGTGCAAGTCTCTCCCGGAAGCTGGGGAAATAGCTTTGACACTGAGATGGACATCAGATTACAGAACCCTGGAGTGCCGTGTGTAATTGGAGTCAATACATGTTTTCTGGTTCACGACTGGTTTAGGGGGATTTTCCCCTATGGATTTCACTGATTTTTTTCATTTTAAGGGTAAACCCCAAAGTAATTGCTTCCCTGACCTATTGCATGATGAGTCTCAAAATTTATAGGCAAGTAGAGGAGGAAAGGGCGAAGGAAAAAGGGTTATTTAGCAGAGCTGCTTTGGCTGTGAGTTCAGGAAGGAAGCTGTAAATGTTATTACTTATTAGCTAATCAATCAGCCAATCAGATCTCAGTACTTAGAGTGCCCGCTGACTGAGAAAGCAGCCTGGTGCAAGAGCAAGAGCAGGAGCAGCATGTAAACACCCCGTCTGGGCTGAGGGCGCTATCAAGTGGCCTCATTGCAGTTTAGATTCTGTGCCTTGGAGTTGCTGGGCTGTGGGGAGCCAGGGGGGAGCTCTTGGCCATGCCCCTTGCTTTGGGATAAAGAGGCAGCTGGAAGTTATATTCAGTGTATCTCTAATGAATCAAGGCAGAATGTGTTTGCTTGGTTATGGAAGGGGCAACGGAGCCTGGAGGTGGAGACCCTGTGATTTCTTCCCAGTTTTGACGCTCACTGTGTGATCCTGGGCACATTGCTTCCTCTCTTTGTGCCTTAATTATGTCATTTGCTAATTGAGGTGTGGTCCTCATCTCTAGGGTCCCTTTCAGCTCTGTTAAACACCATGTAAGGCCACTAGGAATGCTGTCTAGAACAGAATTCCTGGTAGGCAACTCTGACACTTGATTCGGCATTGTGTCTTATTGGCACCCTAGCAGGTGAACGGTATTGCTTTTAGATGGTGGAATTTGTCCCCATCCATGTGGCTTTAACGCCAGGGCAAGTATGTTTAAGATTATCTGTTGGAACGGGTGATCCTTAGGGTTCGCTCACACTCCTCGTCAGGAGTCCTACCCCACGGGATCCTGATTTACTCTGTTTGACAAGAGCAGGTGACCTTTGAGAAGTACCTAAGGCGCCTTTCCAAGTGTGCAGGGTTTGGGCACCTGAGGGGGCGCCTGGGTTGTGAGCATGTGCCGACTGTCGTGAGGTCGGAGGATTTCTCTGACTCTGTCAATGCAGAGTTAGTGTGGGGGGCGATGAGTGTCCAAGCAAGATGGAGCCCCTCAGATGAGGAAAGGTGGAGTCGTAGAGAGGATGGGTGCTGGTCATGGAGACAGCCTCACAGGCATGGGAAGCCCATGTGCACAGAAACCTTGGGAAGAACAAGAAAAGATACTACTGTTCACCGCACTGATGGGAGCCTTCAGTCTGATGTGGCTGATTGCAGAGCAGGAAGCTGCTGGCTATGTGTCATTTGCTGAAACTATGTGACTTTGAGGACTGCTGTAAGGGCTGGAACATAGGAGAGCCGGGGATTTCTTGATAATTTCATTAATTACAGGCTAGAGATGCATAGCCAAGGGTTATAGAGGTAGTATTATGACATTTTGGTTTTTAGACTCTGAAAGCTCAGACAGTTGGATTAAAATAGATTTTAATGTAAGGTAACTGGCTAGGTAATACTGCAAATTACACTTTTCTGTGAAGTATCTTTACATACATTATCTCATTTAAGCCCTTCAAGAACTATATTTAAGGGAGAAAAACCCCATTAATAATCAGAATTTGGGAACCTGTCAATGGTCACATAAATGAAATTGATGGCTCAAAGTCTCAAAATTGAGGTCCTCAGACTTTTAGCCAGTGATATCACATCAAAGCTCGAGAACTTGACTACCAGGATTTTCTAGCCCTGGGTCAGCCAAGAGGGCCTCTCCTCGGAGCCATTTTGCATTTTCCATGCTTCTAGGCAGGTAATCCTGTCTTAGTGTTTATCATTATTCTTTTCTATATTGAAATATAAAATTGAAAAGTGATACCACAGGTCTGGTTTCAAGAGATCTGATTTGACTCTAGCACTAAGAAATATATTTATACCCCTAAGAGACTTGCCGTGTTTTCAAGGTCCTATTCTTTTGGACTCTGTTTCTAAGAAATTGCCAAGGGTTATGTTTTATAATAGATAAATTAAATATGTAAAAACTCTAAATCATAAGTTAGAGAAATTAACGGGTGATTATTTTCACTGAATGAAGGGTGTGAATTAGATTATCATAAAGGTTTTTTTCCATTCCAAAAATTTGATTTTAGATTTCTGGTTTCCGTGTGTGTGTGTGTGTGTGTGTGTGTGTGTGTGTGTGTCTTTTTCCCCAAGTCATTGTTTAGTACTGTTGAAATTATCCACTGCCCTCACAGTCCCAAACTTCCTAGTGCTATGAAACTAATATAAAAAGTATGTGGAAATATAATCTATTCACTAAAAAATGCTGAAAGTAAGAATGCTTAGAAGTTTGTGTGTTTCTAGGAAATGTGTTCACTTTCCTCCTGACCATACTTTCTATTAAAATTTAAGTGGTGCATTGAAAGTTGCCAACTCCTTCTTAAATCATGCAAGAACCCATTTCCCATACTAGTCGGTGATGTTTTAATACTGCCTGATGGAAGACCTGTCTTTGGTACAGCTTTGATCACCCAATTCAATGAAGCCAAATATTGAAATTGATGTGGTTAACTTTTTAGTGTTAATGATGAAAAAATTAATTTTGTCATAAATCTTTAGCTAATACTATCAACAGAGAAGGTATATTTAAGTATTTTTTTTCCTTTTCACTGATACTTCCTATTTTAGTCCCTGAATTTAAAAAAATATAATATTTGCATAAATTTTGTTTTTAAAGGATTCTCTTGAATAGACTAGCTTTCCGATCTATTTTAAGTAGAGCCCAATCGATAATTGGCTGTCCTATAGCTTTGTCCCTTTCATTTTGTTTTATATAGGTTCTTTTTTCCTCAGACATTTTCCTTATTGGGACATTTTTATTGGACAGTTAAAAAATATTTACTAACTATCTACCCTGTAAAAAAGGAATGCAAGCCTATCACTGGCTTTAGTGAACCAACAATCTAATTGGAGAGAACAGATAGAGACCTGTGGAGGTTATAATAAAAGGAATTCACAGGACAATGTCAGAGAATCTTGTAGGAACTGTAATAAGACAACGTGTAACCCATCACCACATGAGCCCTGGCTCCTCTGAGTT